CTCAGAATTCAGTAAAACTTAAGGAAATCTCTGCTTTCCATTCCAACTTTCCAGCTAGAAGTGCCCCTGTTCTGGGAAAGAAGTTTTATCTTCACATAAAGGAGGATAGCAAGGAAATAGAGCTGGGATCTTGTAGGGGAGAGTTCTGTTTTAACCAGGAGTTAAAACTTTGGAGCAGCCTAAGGTGAAGCTTTACAGCAAACCAAGGCTGGACCATGACAGTCCCAGCTCCAGCATGAAGGGAATCACCTCACATTTGGTAGAGGATGAGAAAATCCCTGGCCAGCTGCTGCTGGAATAGCTGACATGCTCTAAATGACTGGCTGAGTTCACACTGCCAGCACTTCCTGCCCCTGCTCTCCCCAGAAATGTGAGCCAGAAAGCAGCTTGGAACACTCCACATGGAAATCTCAATAGGCTGAACAACATCATCTCTTGGAACTCCAGAGATGATAAGATTTAGCCTACTCCCAGTGGTTTGGGAGCAGTGTGGCATGATGTCATGTTATGACTGAGCTAAATTCACAGTTGCTGCCTGGCTGCCAGGGAAACCAACTCAGAATCACTAAGCAAAAGGAAGCTCTCCCTTCCCTGTGGCACTGAGATGCTCCCCCAGCTTCTGCCAGCTCCCAAAATCCCACAACAACCTCCACTGAGCACTCCTTCCTCTCACTCCTGTGGGAAAAACTGAAATTTCTATACTAGACAAGCAAATTATTTCTCAACATGTTTCCCAGGAGACAGGCAGTGGTATTCCTTGGCCATGTGAACCATCAGACTGAAACAATCAAATCTCAGGTTGAGAAGCTCAAAGCTGGGTATGGGCATGCTGTGATGAGATTCTTAAGCATCATTTTTATTATTATTATTATTATTATTTAAAAATTAATCATTTGCAGACATACAGGTTTTTAAGCACTTTAACTGTAATTGTATCATTAGTCAAGAGTAGGAAAAGAAATGGAGGCAAATCCTGACATCAACTGTGCATGATCAAGCAGTTTCACAGCAGCTTAACAGTGCTGAAAGCCAAAAACCTTCAGCTCCAACTATTGGTTACAGCAAGAAATGCTCTTATCTTTCAGGAAATATTAAAAAAAATCCATTAAATCCCCCCCATAATAATTCCAATCTAAAGCAAAACAAAATGAACTCAGTTCTCCTACTTTTCCAGTATCAGGCAGAGTTGATAATCACAGGATTTTACTCCAGGAAGGAATTTTTTGAACCATACGATATTTGACATTTAAATTCTTCAAGTCTTCATTTTTATTTATTAATATGATCTTTGATAACCACAGACATCTCGCCTTGCATTCCACACAAATCCACACAGCAGATGCCATCTTGGGAGGACAAAAGAAGAGACAGATTTAACTAATCTACACGTGGTTTGACATTCTACAGGTGCAAGGAAAAATAAACCCAAACAATCCCACAGAGACTGAACAAATCAGAAGGACAGTAAAATCTGAAGGTGCAAATATTTTACTTATTCAATTGAGAGTATTTATGGGAAAAGAAGAAAAAGTGCTGGGAAGACAGGCCCAGAGAGCAGAGGAGCTTCAGCAGAAGGACAAAGACTGATGCTAAAAACTAACACCTGCACAGAACACCAACACTCACATGTTGGTACAGAGGGATGCATCATTTTGGGAAGTTTTGCACACTTTTAACATATAAAATCTGATATAACCCAGATATGAGCAGTGAGGAGCCAGGAATTCAGCACAGCTCGTTCCCCTGGTGTCACACAGCAAACCAGAGGCCCAGATTTTGGCTGGAGCTCAGCAATCCTGGCCCCAGCACTGCTCAATCCACAGGTCAGACCTTCTCCAGGTTGCAATTACTGATTTTTACCTCTATCATCACAAAAAGTGTCAGTCTGGAATGAGAAAGTCACTTCAACACATACTTCAATTGACTTCACTGGTGTGTAAGTACTTAAATATTTTGCTAAGTCCTTTAAGTGCTAATTTAAAACAAGAATTACTATGCTTGCAAAGGCAGCTTTTAAGAAGGAAGTAGCAGCACTAGCTGCTTTAATTAATATCTCTAATTATGAGCACTCATAAATTATTTAACAAAATGTGATTTACAGTTTATTTCCTAGTTAGATAAAGTGTCTATGTAGCCACAGATTTAGTTACAGAAGTTTTAGAGCACTTGGCTTTGTTTCTTACTGAAAAGAAAAACATTTTCAGAGACAAAGTAACAAGACATCAAAAAGTTGAGGGGGAAGGTGGGTAATTCTTTTATAGTAGTGTAAGAGGGAAAAATCCTTCTACTAAACTATGTTCTTTAAGTTAAATTTCGGTCAATAAACCAAATAAATGGCTGAATTTTTGTTCAGCTTAAGCGGTCAGCTGTCAGACCAAAATGAGAAATGCAATGGGAAACTTACCTCAGAATTACCAGGTTCATCTTTAATTTTGTCTAATAGTCCCTGCTGTGGGGCCATAGCTTTAGCATATTCGTCATCCAAAGGCTCCTTCTTAATTCTAATATTTGATGCAAAGGAATTCCCCAGCTCTTGTCCAATAGATTCCTTACTAGAAAATAGGTAGCTAGACTCCTGAAACAATAATATGAAAAAGAATTCACCCTCCTGCATCTGCCATGAGGAGTTGGGCTGCTGCCAAGGGGAGTTTGTGCTGCAGACCAAGAGATTTGGGTCCTGCCAAGGTGGGAGAAATGCTGGGCAGCAGCTGCTGCCTCAACCTCCCTGCAGCCCCCTCTCTCATCCCACCCCCAAGGCTTTGCACTCCTCTGGGCAAAGCAGAAAACACCCAGCTCTGTAAGTTGGTGGTTTGGGAGTGTCTCTTGTGGATACAGCTCTTCCCTGGCTCATGTGGAAAAAAAGCAGCAGGTCAGGTGGATGCATCCAGCTGTAGGTTCGGCTCACCGGTCACTCCAACCATGCTGAACAAGAAAAGTGGCTACCAAAAGAATCCTCAATCCTTAGAGAGGCTCAGGAAATTTTTACAAAATTATATGTACTGTTTAAGCAGCAAAGATGTCTAAGAGTCAGAAGATCAGTTTCCTTAACACTCAAATTTACACTCAAATACAAAATACGTATTTTGAATTATTCCAGCATATTGCTGCACTTGCAAAAGTGGTTGAAAGATCTATAGCTTACCCTGAAGTTAGTTTCTGGAGTTTGTGGCGCTAACTGCGTCCGTAATGTTTCTTCTACTTGATTATGAACTGAGGAAAACATATACATTAAATAGAAATGAATACAGGTTCCAATGCATTTCCTTTAAAACTATCAGAGTCTCATCCTGCTCCCCAACCCCATGGCTGACAGCACCTCACCACTATTCAACTACTCCCTTTCTCCTCCCTGTAGCAAATGTGGTAATCCCTAAAGAGAATTGGCTCTTTTTTAATTATTCTATTGGATCATCATTTTCCCATTCCAGCAAAATAGTTGCAAGCTTCCGATGCAAATTCTTCATTCAGAATTTTCCACACCTCAGCAGGTTCTGAACTCCCCTGTTTTGACATTTAAATCACAAAATACTTTTCAGAGCAACATCTTCCAGCATTTTCTTTGCTGTTCTGTTCTTTTGCCTTTTCCCCTCTTCTCAGGAAATAGCATCTTCTGCTTTTTTAGAATATATCATTTAAAAACTTTGGATTTGCCTAGATATTGGATATTTCCACGAGCATTTATCATTCTGCTTTCAACTACTGATTACTTTACCTGATCTTTTAACTGTGTGTGTTTACAACTTTCTGAAATACATCTTATGTACAGAAACATTCTTCCCTTGACTTCAAACTGAAGTTACAAGTAGAGATACATCTGTAACTTTATTTTTAAAGATCTCTTTATTGCTTCTCTATCATTGGTGCCACCTGGAAGCACTGATTTGAAGATGCTGTTGCTGAACATTTAAAGTTTAAACCTCAGAACTAGAAGCTGTGAATGTGAACAAGCAGTGCCTCACGTGCTGGCTCACCCTCCCTGTGCTGAATGAGATTAAACCATGTGTTATTCTTAACTCCTTCATTCACTGCTCTGCTGTAACTTTTAGAGCTTGGGAAGACAAAAATAAATGTGTGGGCAGCAAGATTATGGAGACTGTCAAATGAGAAAGGGATTTTAGGCATCTTTGGTTCTTTCCATGTTGGCTGGATGAAGTCCAAGACACAAGTATTGGAGGAAGAAGGGGAGCAGCCTCCCAGGAAAAGCAGATTTCAATGTTCTGGCTTAGTTCCTGCAGACACTAACTCCTTTCTAGCAAGCCTTTCCCTGATACTATCAAATCCACACTGCTTTAAATGCCTAGGCACTAGTGAACAATTGGTGTTATGCTCAAAAAATCTTTACTGGCCACCAACTTAACCTAAACTTCATCACCTTTTCTTTTAAGAAGCTCCATGGTCTATAAAAACCAGTGAGAAAAACCAAAAGGAAGCTTGAATTGTCACCCAGCTTGGTTTAGGAAACCACAACAACAAAGGTTCTGTTGAGGCTCTGTAACAAGCTGTGGAGGATGAGACCTCCCTGACACTGCCAAGCCCTTTGCAAATTCCTCCTCCTAACACTGAGTTCATTGGATTTCAGGGTTCTTCCCCCTACACACAGCTCTGCCTGCTCTCTTCAACAAGGTGATGTTTTTAATAATTAGCCCTACTGCTGATTTCTCTCTAATTCTTTCTTCCTCTTTGCTGGGCAGCCAGCTCTATGATGGCAACAGTTACCTGCTTTGTCAAGAAAACTGCTTTTCAATCTAGAATCCATATCTTTAGGGATTTTTTCCAACCGTTTTTCACGTTCTTGAAAATGTCCTTCTCTATTCTTGTCCTTGGCTGAAAAAGTCTCTTTGCCATTATCTCGTGTTCTGCTAAAATCTTTTCGAAGTGATTTAAATACAGGGCCCTGCTCAAAGGGGGAAGTGAGATCCTTCTGGGTTGCATTCTGAACCTGAATTTCTTTTTCACTGTCCAGTTCATGATCTGGAACTCTCTTGCCCTCTTGCAGATGATCTTCATCATGAATTGCTGAAGAAAGAGTGTCTTTTGGAGTGAAATTCTGCTCATCTTCGTTGTCACTCCCAACAACAGGTATGCCTGCAAGATCCCCAGAGTTCAGAAAATAATCATGATCATCACCCTGCAGTGAATTCTCAGCTCCTGCTCGGTTGGGTGCTCCGTAGGACAAGCTGTCCAGGGCAGGTGCTAAGTTGTGCTCAGCGTCCTCAGACATCTCTGCATCCAGAATTTCACCACCTAGGGAGAAAAACATCCCAGTGAACTGTCAGAAAATTGACCAATTTCATGTGTAATGAAGGTGTGAGTGTCCTAATCTGGCTGATGTTGCAATTCCTTGAATATTCTCAGCCTTTTCATGTCAACATTAATGTGAAAACATTGCTGACATAGAAAGGGTTCAGTTGCCCTCACCACTCTGAAGCAGAAGCTGAACTGAGTAAAACTAACCAAAGAAAGAAAATATATTAATTTCCATTCACCTCACTTGGAGCACTTGTGGAGAAACAAATGCAGGAGGGAATGGGCAGGAAGGGCTGGGATGAGGGCAAGACAGCCTTGTTCAGCAGCAATGACACTTCCAAGAAAGGCTTTGTGAAACTATGACATTAGAGAATAAATAGAAATACTTACATTTTTCTGTAATATCAAATACCGCATCAGATTTATCTTCAAACTGTAAAAAAGGAAAGCACTGTGTCATTATCTTGGTCAGCTGCCCATGTACTTTGCTAAAAAGCATCTGATCAAAACCAAGCTGAAGGATCACAATTCCTCCTCTTCCTTCCTTCCTTGCCTCAAGCAAATTTTTATGAATTAAGACTGAGAAGCCACACTCACCCTAATGAGCTCAGAATGCACAGAAAAGGCACACAAGGAAAATTTAGAAATAGTGTTGCTTCCCAGAGGAGAGAGGAAAGGGAATGTCAATTTTCTCTACTACCTGGGATAGCAGTACCAGGTCAAGGCCACAGATGCTGCCCTGATACTCCACAAACCTTCATTCCTTCTGAATATAAATAAAACCCAGGAGCTTGGGCAGCTCCCACTGCAAAGGCCCAAGGGTTTCACCTCTCCTAGAGGGAATTTTCCCCTTTCCAGGAACAGGGAAATGCAATGTTTAACTTCCCAACAAGAAAGTGTCAGTGTGAGCATAAGCACAGAAGACCCAGATGCTGAGTGCTGCACGAACATCTGGCTGCATTAAACCTCCTCTGACAGATGTTGAAGTTGTTGGCATCTTGGATGGTGCCTGGAGAAGAATAATTAAAGTTTCCTTCAGAATGTCCAACTCATTAGCAGCCTTCTTTTCTGCCCAAGAGATAACAGTAATTCATTTAAGCCCTCTCTCCTTTCCCTACACGTCTTTCCTGCTAGATCCTGCTCACACTGCAATTCTTAAGCCATCTTAGGGAAAGTAATGGGATTTGAGAGCAAAGGGATGAGCCCTAATTTCATTGAACTCGAGTGATTTAGTTGATAAATCCAGTATTTCTCAGGAGCTATCAGTTTGGTAGCAGGCAGCTCTAGGAAAGGATGACAACAGACTGTCCCAGAGGTCATTTGATGGCAAAATGTCCCTTTCCAACACCTCTGCAAAGACAAAGCAGCTCCTTCAGCTTAACTGGACACACATGGAATAGTGAGGGCATGTCCATCAAGTCACTTGGACACCTCACCAGAACTTTCTGGTTTCTCTGAGCAGACACTTGAGGCTGGAAAAGTAAAAGAGAACCAAACCAAAACAAAAAAAAGGATACAGTTCCACAAGGCTGATGCAAGTCTTCTCCATGGAATTATCTAGAGGGAAAGAGTAAGGAAACAGCTCCCAGGAAGGTTTGCAAGGCCTGAGCTCTGTTCCTGCTGTAATGATCTCAGGAGTGGCTGGAAGATGGAAGTTTAATGTTGATCTAGGAGCCCATTAACATGACTGTTAATTTACAGGTGTAAAATTAATCCCCATAAATACTGGATATAGCAAGTGCTCATAGAAACTGCTGAGGACAGGGACAGCAGGGCTGGGAGAAGAAGAGAAGAACATGGAGAGGAACTTGTTGCCATTTGATAATAATATCAGAGCATGAAGTTTTTGGAGGCAAAACAACAGCCCAGGTCCTTGACTCTACACTGAACTTTTCTTGGTCCTTTTTTGCTTCCTGTCAGGAATTCTCTATTTTCTCCAACAGATTTTGATGGTGGGATGAAGGGAATTTTCAGCTGAGATAAGCTCATCCTTTTCTCATGGTAGATTTGTATCAAAGGAGTTCTTTAATCTTTTGAGACCCAAAGTACCTGGGGGAAAATATTCCAGGTCCTCCACAACCCTGGCTGCCTTACACACCCAAACCCGAAATATTCCTTCTCCTCTTCTGGTGCTTACAAATCTTTTGCCAACAGCTGACAACCCCAGGAATGCTTGTATCACCAAGGGATAAATTTTGCAGTGTGAATCTCTCTCACTGTTTCATTCAAAGAAAAACTAACAGCACCTGCAAGAGAGTGAGGGACTCCCAGAAACTCTGGAAAAGCTGGAAAACATTTACAATCTACCTGGAAAGAACCCAAACACAAGGTCATCCTAGGGAAAAAACAACCCTGTTTTGTTTCTTCACTCATTATTTTGTGAGGATATGAAAAGAAAATATCATCTGGGATATCATCTTCTTTCAAAAGGTTTTTAGGTACAGAGGAAGATCTGTGTCCGTGGTCAAAAGCTTTCCCTGGAAATATTTATAAACCTATTTATAAACCTATAAATTTATAAAATTCAATGGTTTAGGCTATGGCTTTAGGAACTCCAGTATCTGACAATACCAGCAGCTTTATCTAAGCCACCATCTAGTTTGTGACTGTGAACAGCATCAGAATTCCCACATAGTGTAAATTTAAAGGGAGAAAACCAGGGAAAGTTGGGATGATTGTGTGTGTGCACACATATGTATCTACATACACATAAATATATATATATATATATATCCCAAACAAAATACTCATTCTATAAGTGTGTAACTGGATTGTCCCTGAATTTAGAGCTTATGTATTTTTTTTCATCATCAATGTGGGGTATTGTCTCAGTTACACACTTCTATGTCACTCAGATGTCATTAAATAAGACATTAAATATTCTTATTTAATGGCACCTCAGGAGGAAATTTTGTGTATCACCAGTTACAAAAATGTGTCACTTTAATAAATCATGTACATTAGCTTTGAACTGGATTATGGTCTTGTATCACACAGAAATGTGAACAATAATGCCCAAATTACTATTTCTACATTATTCTATTTCTGCAAGGCAATTCCTTCTCTCCAGTCCTCATGCTTCCTCCTTTCATCACTGTTAATTCCTTTTATTTCTTCTGCTCAGATTTTTTAAGATTTAGTGAGAAGTGGAGCAAAAGTACTTGAGGGGCAAACCTGGAACTGATGGCATTTCCTCTGCCAGATCTAAGGAGAAAGGCACCTCAACACCTCACATATCTTTGATAAAAGACTTTCCTACAAAAGTCTCAGGAACAGAGTTTTCTGTTCAAATACTGAGGCTTCAACTCTTCAACTCAGTCCTCAAAACACACTGGTATTTGTAAAACAAAACTCAATAATCCAATATTCCAAACCACCTTCATTAAGTCATCTCGGCAAATATTTGTCAGAGAATAATAATTCTTAGTGGTTTTAATCCTTTAACTCCATGAGGGTTTAATACAGAACAGTTGAAGTTTGGTATTAGTGAAATTCAATGTTTTAGGCTGTATTTTTTAGTGACTGCCTCATTAGCTAGGACTGCACACAAAGTGGTGCTCTGCCTACTCAGGCTGTAAAAAACAAATAAATGAATGAATGAAATGAAACAAGAATGCAGAAATGGTGACAAAACAATGAGGTATTTCTGAAAGCAATGTGACTTGCTTAAAAGTAACTGCTCTATTAAAAAAGGCAGCTTTGCTTTTATAAACCAAATAAAATTCCACCAGATATGTCACTGGTTTTTAATAGATGTACATTGAGGGAGCAGTGTCACAGCCTCAGCACTGAACTGCCTTTGCTGGGAGTGGAGGACAGAAGGACACACATTTACACTTCAATACAACATGCTAATTTGAAATAACTAAAAAGCTGATCCATACCTTCATGATGTTCAACATAGCCATGTCATCCATAAATCAAACAATTCATAGATTATTTTTGTGCAGTATAAAGAGAGAAGCTGCCTATGGCTACAGTATTGCTTTGTATGCAAAACAGAGAATTCCATTAAGAAATAAACAAACAGTGTATCTACTTTACACACACAGAATGTCTTTCTAGCAAGCTTCTGAAGTTTGATCCTAGATTTTAACATACCCATAAGCAAACTGTGGAAAGGAAGCAGATGTTAAGAGAACTGCAATTAAAAGTAGTCAGAAATGATTCTCAGCTTGCCTGCAGTTTCCTTGTCCCCCTATGCACACAGCATAACCCCCACTCCAGGACTCATTCAATTGAGAAGGCATGAAAAAAAAAAATAAAATAAAAAAGGAATTGAAATTTCCATCGCTGTTCTTGAGGGAGGTGGGGTGAGCTGAGGAAGCAT